GAGCCCCCCGTGGGCAACGTGGGGTGCTGGGGCCCCCTGTTCCCAGCCTTTGCCATGCACCCCAGGTCCACTTCGCCCCGGTTCTTGCCTCCCCTTTGCACCCCTTGTGGCCCCCCTGAACACACCACACCCCGCTCTCACCCTGCTCCACCCCCGTCACCTCCTGCACCCCCTGCGCTGTCCCAGGGCCGTGGGGCTCAGTGCTGGAGGGGGGTGACTCAGGACACCCACTCCCCTCCATGGGACATCCCCGACCCCACAGCAGTGCCCGGGAGAATCATAGAATCATAGAATCACAGAATAGATTGGGTTGGAAAAGACCTCCAAGATCATCAAGTCCAACCCCTGATCCAACTCCAATTACTATATCATGGCACTAAGGGCCACATCCAATCTCTGCTTAAAAACCTCCAGGTTTTTTGCCCTCGGGGGCAGGGGCCGGGTGCCCCAGGGAGGGGGAGGCCCTTCCCAGCCCCATCACGGCCGCCGCTCTCCCGGGGGAAGCCGCTCCACATTGCTCACCCGGCGCTGGTTACAAACACCGCTCCCACTTCAGGTTTAATGGGGTGGCGGCCGCGGGCGCTATTTTGGGGCTGGGGGCGGGATAGAAACCCCGCGCGGGGTCCCGGCCCCGAGCCCCCGAGCCCCCCATCCCCCGGGGGATGGGCTGCGCGGTGCCCGGGGCTGTTTTGGGGGTTATTTGAAGCCCAGGAGCCGCACGCCCGCCTTGACCTTGCGTGACTTCCAGCGGAGCAGGCGGATGGCGCGGAGCCCGAAGCGCAGCACCGCGTCGTACTTGAACACCAGCTTGTAGAAGGCGTCGGTGACCAGGGCGCCGCTGGGGTCGGCGTGTTTGAGGGCGGCCATGGGTGTGTACGCCGCGTTCGTCTGGTGCCGGAACGGCGGCCGGGCCGCCTCGATCACCCGCAGGGTGTGCTGCACGGGGGCATGGAACTGTCCCCTCCCTGTCCCTCCAGTCCCTCCCCAGCCCCAGCCCGTTTCTGTCGCCATCACCATTCCACCCCCATCCCCTTTCAGCCCTGTCTTGCATCCCATTCCTCTGCATCTCCATCCCTATTCCTATCCCATCTTCTTCCCGTTCACATCCCATCCCCAAGCCCATCCCATTCCATCCCTGTCTCTATCCCATCCTGCCCCATCCCCATTCCATGCTCCCCCATCTCCATACCTTCCCATCCCCATTCCATTTCCATCCCATCTCCATCCTCGATTTCCTCCCATCCTATCCCCATCCATCCCATTCCCCTCCCATTCCACCTCACCCCATCCCCACCCTCATCCCCATCCCCATTCCCCACCATTCCCATTCCCAGGCAGAGTCAGCCCCATCAGGATGGGACTGTCCAGGCAGGATCCGCCCCATTGCTGACTGGCCTTTGCTATTCCTCATTAGGGATAATTAACACTTCTCTGCGCAGTCCAGCCCAGCCCAGCCCAGCCCAGCCCACTGGGCTGCCTCTCCTACCTCAGCGATGTCCTCGGGGGTCTGGCCCAGGCTGGCAAACACATCCCTGGAGTTCCTCAGGTAGAGGTCGGTGAAGATTTTGGCCGTCTCGGGGTCCGTCCGGGAGTAGTCGGCGCGTTCGGCCTCCTCGTACAGCTTCGTCTCGAACTCCGTCACCACCGGCCCCGGCTCCACCAGGCTGATCCTGCCCGGGGAGGGGGCGCTGGGCACTGGGACCCCCCTCCCCCAAACCCCCAGCCCCAGGGGGATCTGCAGACCCCCCGCCCCGTCCCACACTCACGCCACGTTGAAGCGCAGCGCCTGCACCACCAGGCTCTCGCAGAAACCCTCCACGGCGAACTTGGAGGCCGAGTAGATGTCGTTGAAGACGATGCCTGGGTGGGTTGGGGGGGGGTCCCGGTTAGGGCTCAGGGGGGGTGTGGCCCCCCCTAGGGTGCCCCGTGCCCCCATACCCTGCAGGCCCATGATGCTGCTGATGACGACGATGTGGCCCCCGCGGCGCCGCTTCATGTCGGGCAGCACCTCCTTGACGAGGCGGACGAGGCCGAAGAAGTTGGTGTCCATGAGACTCTGCATGGCCGCCACGCTCTGGCACTCCAGCGGGCCCGCCATGCCCACCCCGGCATTGCTGACTGAGGGCACGGGGCGTCAGTGGGGGCAGCCCCCTGGGGAAGGGGGATCCCACACCCCGGGCATGGAGGGTCCCCCAGCGTGGGATGTCCTGGGAGCGAAGGGTCCCGGGTGCACAGGGTGTCCCCAGCATTGGGGGGTCCCTGGTGTGTGTGGTCAGGGGGTCCCCCATGCTCAGAGGGTTCCCCCAGCAGGGTTTGGAGGCTCCCTTGGTACATGGAACATCCCTGGCACAGAGGGTGCTTGGTTCATGGGGTCAGGGGTACACGAGGTGTCCCTGTCATGGACAGTCCCCAGCACTGGGGGCACGAAGAGTCCCCAGCCTGGGACACGCTTGGCACGGGGGGTGCCCCCAGCACAGGGAGTGTCCCCAGCGCGGGGTGTCCCTGTCACGGAGCTTCCCAGCCCAGGGAACGGGAACAGAAAGGGGGTGCCAGGGCTCACCCAGGACATCCACGTGGCGCCCGGGGATGCTGTCGAGGCAGGCTCGGATGGAGCCCTCGTCACACACGTCCAGCTGTTTGATCTCCAGCGTCCGGCCCAGCGCCGGCCCCGCCGCCGCCGCCAACGCCGCGCTCCGGCCCACGTTCCTCATGGTGGCGATCACTGGGGGGGGAATTGGGGGGGGCACGGGTGGCTCAGCCCTGCGTGGGATCCCTCTGGGAGGGCTGGGGGGGTCCCTCCTCTCTGCCCCGCTCACCTTGGAAGCGGCGCTGCTTGTCCCGTGCCAGCCGCACGGCCAGGGCCAGCCCGATGCCCGAGGAGCAGCCGGTGATCAGCACCGTCTTGGGAGCCATGGCAAGGCCTGTCACCCACATCCCAGCCCCCCCGCCTTTATAGCAGCTGCCCCGGCCCCAGCCCTGGCCTACCCACCCCAAATCCGGGCCCTTAATCCCCCCCGGATAATCCGACCCCCGCTCCCCCAGGGATTTGCAGCGGCCGCGTGGCTGAGCCACACGTGGTGCCCCGGGCACACAGAGGGGCCTTTGTGCGGGACCTGGGGCACTGTGGGGACATGGCAGGACACGGGGACGCTGCCAGCCCTGTGCCACCGGCAGCGGGGGGCTGTGGGGACCCCCCCCCACCCCATCTCTGCCTTTGGAGGGGACGAGGCGGGAGCTCTGCAAAAATAACCTTTATTGTCACTGGTATAAAACACGTCCCAGTTTTCATTCAACTGGCCTTGTGGGGACGTGGGGGACGCGGTGGTGGCTGCCCCCCTCGCCCCCCCACCCCGGGACCCTGCTCCTGGGGACCCCGAAACGCCCCTGGTGTGGGGGCAAGGAGTGCCAGCCCCCCACGAGGACACTCGGGGCTGCTGCTGCTGCAGAGGGGGGGGGACAAAGTGCTTGAGTGTGGGGGGTCCTGGCGAGCCGAGCTGTGCCATGTCAGTGGTGCCAGGCTGTGCCAAACCGTCCTGGTGGTGCCGGGCTGTGCTGAGCTGTGCCAAACTGTCCTGGTGGTGCCAGGCTGTGCCAAACCACACCAGCAGTGCCGGGCTATGCTGAGCCGTGCCATGTCAGTGGTGCCCAGCTCTGCCAAACCACGCTGGCGGTGCTGGTCCGTGCCAAGCCGTGCCATACCGGCAGTGCCAGGCCATGCCAAACCATCCCAGCGGTGCCAGGCTGTGCCAATTC